ATTTAAAATGATTTCCTTCAGTTAAATTTTAAATTCAAAAGACCTCGTACTCTCGCCGTTTCCCAAGGATCCCACCTGGTCCACTCCCGAGTTATAAAGATTCATTTCTTTGACTCAAAATTGGACCGACGTACGCACTGCTCAAGGAAATAGGCGTTATAGCGTCCCTTCAGGATGTTGACCCACATTCCGGAGCGATAAGAAGTGCGTCCGACTCTCAGGTGTTCGCCACTGCGTGAATACCTGCGAGATACAGTCTAAACGTCCTTCCATACCCTCTATAACTCCATCCTTGTCTCTCCCATTTAAGCGCATTTCCAAGAGCTTGGACGTAACATAAGGTAAATGTAAAGGATATGTAAAGTAAGGTAAATGTAAGATAAATGTAAAGTAAATGTAAGGTAAATGTAACGTAAATGTAAGGGAAATGTAATGTAAATGTAAGGTAAATGTGAGGTAAATGTAAGGGGAACGTAACTTAAATGTAAGGGAAATGTAACGTAAATGTAAGGGAAATGTAACGTAAATGTAAGGTAAATGTAAAGGAAATATAACGTAAATGTAAAGGAAATGTAACGTAAATGTAAGGTAAATATAAAGGAAATGTAACGTAAATGTAAAAGAAATGTAACGTAAATGTAAAGTATGGTAAATGTAAGACAAATGTAACGTAAATCTAAGGTAACTGTAAAGGAAATGTTAGGGAAATGTAAGGTAAATGTAACGTAAATGTAAGGAAAATGTAATATAAATGTAAAGGGAATGTAAAGGAAATGTAACGTAAATGGAAAGGAAATGTAATGTAAATGTAAGGTCAATGTTAGGTAAATGTAACGTAAATGTAAAGGAAATGTAAGGTAAATGTAAAGGAAGTGTAACGTGAATGTAAGGGAAATGTAAGGTAAATGTAACGTAAATGTAAGGTAAATGTAAGAGAAATGTAACCTAAATGTACGGTAAATGTAAGGGAAATGTAACATAAACGTAAGGTAAATGTAAGGTAAATGTAACGTAAATATAACGTCAATGTAAGGTAAATGTGAGGGAAATGTAAGGTAAATGTAAAGGAAATGTAAAGTAAATGTAAGGGAAATGTAAGGTGAAAGTAATGGAAATGTAACGTAAATGTAAAGGAAATGTAACGTAAATGTAAGGTAAATGTAAGGTAAATGTAACGTAAATGTAAGATAAATGTAAGGTAATTGTAAGGTAAATGTAACGTAAATGTAAAGTAAATATAAGGTAAATGGAAGGGAAATGTAACGTAAATGTAAGGGAAATGTAATGTAAATGTAAGGTAAATGTAAGGCAAATGTAAGGTAAATGTAAAGGAAATGTAAAGTAAGGTAAATGTAAGATAAATGTTACGTAAATGTAAGGTAAATGTGACGTAAATGTAAGGTATATGTAACGTAAATGTAAGGGAAATGTAACGTAAATGTAAGGGAAATGTAATGTAAATGTAAGGTAAATGTAAGGTAAATGTAAGGTAAATGTAAGGTAAATGTAACGTAAATGTAAGGTAAATGTAAGGTAAATGTAATGTATATGTAAAGTAAATATAAGTTAAATGTAAGGGAATTGTAACGTAAATGTAAGGTAAATGTAACGTAAATGTAAGGTAAATGTAAGGGAAATGTAATGTAAATGTAAGGTAAATGTAACGTAAATGTAAGGTAAATGTAAGGGAAATGTAAGGTAAATGTAAAGAAAATGTAAAGTAAGGTAAATGTAAGATAAATGTAACGTAAATGTAAGGTAAATGTGACGTAAATGTAAAGTATATGTAACGTAAATGTAAGGTAAATGTAACGTAAATGTAAGGTAAATGTAAGGTAAATGTAAGGGAAATGTAAGGGAAATGTAAGGTAAATGTAAGGTAAATGTAAAGGAAGTGTAACATGAATGTAAAGGAAATGTGAGGTAAATATAAAGTTAAGGAAAAATTGTCAATGTGAGCCAATAAAAGATGATCCTTTGTGAAATAACTGTCATATATTATAATTCTAGAGTATAAATTACAGACGTTTCGAAATCATTATTGTGTTTGCTTCAAATGTATAAACCATATTCTAGATATAGTAAGCAACTTTAATTTATTTCATTGGGACGCTTACTACATCTAGAATATGGTTTATACATTTAGAGGACACAATAATGATGTCGAAACGGCTGTAATTTATACTCATAATTTATTATATATGACAGTTATTTCGCAAAGGTACATCTTGTGTTGGCTCACATTGACAATTTTTCCTTAATTTATTTGTTAAATATTGAAAGAAACTTTGATTTATTATTACCCCGTATAAATCACAAAAGGGGTGTCGTCGTTGCACCACAGCACAATCATAACCAATGTCATTGCGATCAATTTGTTTCGGATTAATAAAAAATTCTCTAACTAATTAACCACCTTCTTTCTCCTTCCTTTTCGTTGCCTGTAAGTTTAAGACAACCATGTTCACCATGATAACAGAAATCAATAGGAAGTGTGTATATCGTTCTTATTATCTTCGTGAATCATACATAATAATAATTAGATAATTTGTGAAAGGAATGAAATATAATATTACTTGTGTTTGTTACATATTCGTAAATTCCATTTGAGAAAGATCCTCTTGATATGCAATAGCTCCTGGCAGACTTGGGAAATTGTTCGTTGCAGTTAAACAGATATCTAAACCATACCTGAATAAGAGAAATTTGACAAAGATCCAATTTTTGTTCTAAACATCTTCGTGTAAATTGCACATTTGAGACAAACCTCGACAAGAAATGCATCATGAAACGTATCTTTAAATTACAAGTTACATAATAATGTACATACAAGGTCGAACTTCCTCAAGGTTGATAAAATCATTCGACGCATTTTTGCACTACTGCGAACCGAGTTATTTATTGTTATTGTTATAGTTAAAGTTGACAGATATCCAGAGGAAATCTATTGCATCGATAGCATAAAGGAAAACAATTCTGCTTTACATTCTGCTTTACGGACAAATATTTAACGAAACAAACATTCTGCTATATAATCTATACTATTATCTATGCCATCGATATGACGGATATGTTTTCTAACCTGAATAGTGATCAACTTTAACGATCTCGATCCACGGAGTAAAGCGATATACATTTTAATTTTGCTAGATTCGTTCATTTCATGCAAATGTAGAAGTATAGAAAATCACTTACGTGTCCTCTATGCCATCGATGTGACAGTTTTCCTAACGTAATCATCAGCCACCGAACAGACACATATACGATGTGACCATGCACATGCACATTGCCAGCGCCACATTTGCCTCTAGCGCCGAAAAATCCAAAAGGACATATCCCCCATCCCATAGCCCTGTCGACGACGACGACGTTTCTTAAATTAAAAGTTTCAATTCGGATTTTGCAACATTTTGCATCGCAATATCTCCGCTCGTAGAGCACGTAGAGAAAAAACAAAAATACTTTCATTATATATTCCGAGCGGATGCCA